GCACCTTCTGTCTCTTATACACATCTAGATGTGTATAAGAGACAGTATATATATATATATATATATTACTATTAAAAACAATTAAAACAAAAGAAAAGATTACAATTAATTAAAATACGTCGGGTCTTCAGTCTTCGTTAATTAAAATATGACGAATTAAAGAAAAATGAAAAAAATTCCAAGTCATTCCAATAATTTAGGCGAGCACGGAATTTACCCGAGCACGCACGCGTGCGAATATTGAATTATATATGAATTCTAATACGCTGTACATTCTAAGTGATGTTAATTATAAAATAATATAATTGTAAACCCAATTAAGTGTGTGAAATTAATATGCAGTGTACGTAACTCATATACTTTGCATGTGTTCATCGGGAAGATCATGACACAAAATGGACGGTGTGTACCACGTGAATTTCGCAAATCAAGGAGCGGAATGTCTTTATATATATGGCTCTGAGCCCGAGCCCGATACACCTGTATTTGTACTGTACCGCCAAAAACATCGGAAAGTAGGCCTACTGTCAACAGTGACATCTATTAAAAATTTAATTACAATTTTGAAAAGCTAATATAAAAAAGATCAAATAAGTTAATAACATCAATGCAGAAGTAGGGAGGTGCTCACAGGGAGCGAAGATGGATTTGTGGCCTGCTGCAGTGTATACTCTAACGAACAAAATCATGAGAAAAACATTAAATTTTATAACTTAGTTGATGCTATTTTATTGACACTGTAAACAATAGTATAAATGAAATATAACTAACAAATATTATAGGATTTTTATCAACAAATTATGGTAGCAGAAACTAACAATTCAATGGAACTCTGTGACTGACACCACAAAAATATTTGATATAATTATAATATTTTGATGTGACCAAACTAAAGGTTACATAGTAAAAAAAACATAACTTGAAAAAAAAAAACTAATAAGAGGTTATGTGTTGTCTAACGGCAGACAGTCACCTGGAAAAGGTAGGTTATTTGCAGACCTAATTTTGGCCTCCATTAAGTACAGGTACATATACTGTAGGAAGAGAATAGGTCCAGTGGTATATCTAGGGGTAGAAATTGGGGGGAAACTCCCCCTAAAAAACCTTATGTTCCCCACTGGGGTCCCACTAATAAAAAGTAATAATTCTCTTTCGGACATCTATGGATCCGCCCCTGATCAATTTAGAAACCACTTAAAAAATAACTATACTGAGTTTATAAATGTTGTAACATCTAAAATACATCAAAAGAGCACATTATTGGATATGAAAATAGTGGGATCAATGAGATAAAATCGTAATTAAGCTAATCTAGTTGCAAGTTATTTATTTCAAAATAAAAAAAATAAAAATCATATCAATTAAAATAGTACCCTCATTAATTCATCTTTTTAAGATAAAATTGATTTTCATCAGAAATATTCTTTTTCACCCACAATGCAAAAGTGTACCCAACAAACATTATAATCTACTGTCTTCTTGTGATACTCTTTTTTGAAAAAATATTTTTTAAAGTATTTCCACATTTGGTTTAATAAGCTTTTTGCAGCCCAGCACAGTCTTCTTCAGTACTTTACAACCAACTTAATCTCAGATTCCATACACCCAGACAAACTTAGAGTATGTGGCAGAGACAAGCCAAACCAGCCACTCCTCGTAAAAAAATGATTTTAAGTTTTTAATACATGGTTAAACAATAAAATGAAAGTTATAAAATGGTTTAAAAAAATCATATAAATCCGACATTCTGTTATGAAGTTACAGGTGTTTAAACATTGAATAAACAGTATTTGAGAAATCAGCCTTTTTTATGATTCTGGAGATTTCTCAGGCAAAGACCATCACCCAGTTGTTAAAACATGTTGTTTTAACGTTAAAAATGGGGTAAATAACAACATAGCATGATGTATAAATATATAAAAGGTAGTTTAGTGCAATAAAATAGATATAAAAAAATGCTGACATTCCAGCATGTTTTGGCCATTATTTCTGAAACACAATGATTGACTTGTTTGGCATGTCTTCACCACATATACATATTCACATTAGAATATGGAATAAATGGATACTTTTTGTTACTTACTATTTAATCTAAAATCAATTATCAATATACTGGCTAAAACTTAAAATATTCTTTACGTGTTTACAACTCTCAGTCAAATATTTTAAAATCAACTCACTTCTCAGATATACACAATCCTATAAATTTTTTTCGCATACATCCAACATGCTGGCAGTATTTAACAAGCATAAGAAACATTATGTGATTGAACGTGTGACAGAACAGACTATCAATTTGAAAACTTTAAGCACTTTTGGTAAAAGTTGGATTTTTGTTTTATAAAAAAATAATTTTTACTGTGTTCTAACAAACCAAATTGCCCTTGAGCTAAAAAAAGTACTGAACTAGGGAAAACTCTTTACCATCTACGCTGGATCAGTTCCAACAGCAGCCTACAATGCTTTCTATGCTTCATGGTGACTCTTTTACTATGACACGGATCATGTGACTGATCATTTGACTAAGTATTAAACTAAGATCAGACACTGATTGAGTCTCCTTACATAAAATGTCTAAGTTTTAATACATATTTAGGCACAGATACTGCATATGTATATACTGTAGTATGAAATTTAGGCTTTTGTTGTAATATTTAAAGTGTCTTTTGGTAAGGTTAATTTCTCTTAATTTTCCTTTATTTTTTTTTATTTCTGTATTTAAATTCAAAATGTATTTTAACAGTCTTGTTAAAAACACATATAATATGGTCAAGTTTCTTTATGATTTTTAAGAACCACATTACATTATCATCATCATTACTAATAACATTATCATATAATTATTGTTATAAGCTTGAAGACATTAAAGCACAGTTGGTGATAAATAGATTCTGATGTAATTATCAGAAGTTTACAAAAAAAACTACTCCAAAAAAAAATTCTTCTAATTGACAGTTTTACTACCAGTCTAAATTATAATTTCACTGCTGTGTTGGTTTCTTTCTGCCTTCCAAGATAAAATTGTGTAGTTATGCATATTATGATGGCTAATAGTAATATATCTCTTTAAAAACATGATGAGTTGAAATATATATTTTTCTGTATTTACAATCATAACTTATAGTTTACATCTTAATATAGGTTATAATTTAAAACCTAGAGGAGTTCACTGAGGAGGACTTTAACCCTCTTGCCAAATAGAGTTCAGAGGTCATCATCACCAATGCCTTCAAAGATCTCATTTTCAATGTGAGCTGCAGGACCTTTGCTCTTTGGTGGCAATGTTGACTGCATTTTGTCCTGGGATAAGAAAATAAAATACTTTTAATATATGAGGCTTGCCATCCCAAAACCAGCCATCCCAAAAATTGTCGCTAATTTTTAAACTAAGTATTAATTAGAATGTGGCTGTATTGTATACTTTTTAATACAGAGACACCGTGATACTTTTACTCCTATCTTTGGCAATAGTAAATCGATTCCAGTCAGGGGTTTAGCCAGAAAAACGAAATAGAGCCGTCCAAAATGGAAGCCAGTGGGCGTGGCACTGAGACTATGTGCGGGCCACGCCCATTTGGGAATCCCACCGAATATTGGTACGAAAACAAGGTACATTCAATCAATAAATGTTGTTTTTATGAAACGTAAATATTATTTAGCTTTAGTAAATTGTAACATTCGATAGATTTGAAGAATATAAAGAATTTGCTAAAAGTAGACCAGGCCCAATTAGGATAGGCCAAGCTGATTAGGTCAAGCTGTCCAAGCCGTCACAGTAAAAGTGGCCGTCCTAAATAATTGTAGGCCGTCCGAAAGACGGCCGGACGGCTCGCTGGCTAAGCCTATGATTCCAGTAAAAAAGCTTGTAATATGGAGAATATGAATACATTAAAAAGTCAAATTTCATGTTTTTGTCATGATACTTGTTGTGGCGAGGCAAACACAATATGTATATGAATTATAACTTATCTTAAAGCATAAGTTATTATTTATATACACAATATGTATATGAATTATTACTTATGCTTTAAGATACACTTTACTGTTTGTGATGAGCTTTAATAAACTTGGCAAAATAAAATATTTTGTACATATAAGTAATTAGCTGTAAATTATAAACAAGAAATAGATAAAGAAAATTGTAAAAACAAAATTCTTTGATTTCCCAACTTACTGAATTTTTATTGTGATTTGCTGAGTTTTCAGGCCCCTTCTGTGAAACCTTCAAGTTAAAAAAAAAACACATATAAATTATAATTACTATAATTATAATGAATGAAGAGTACAAAGAGAAATAATGTATGTCCCCATCAGGATCTGACCCCAAGACCTTCCAATTACTGTTGGGATACTCTACCAACTGAGCTAGGCCAAGTGGTACATGTACCCTTACATTTTTCCCATTACGGTAGACCACCTTTTTTCAAATCCTCTTTATAATAACCAAGAGTGGAGGTGTTTCTCCATACCAAAGTTTTACTATCTTGTGATTTATCCTTGCTATTGAAATGGCATCACCATGCCTACTGTGTACACAGAGGTGCTACCTTATTGTCAGTATGCTGGGCTCCTTTGCTTAATGCTCAGGTTAAGCCTGCAGCTCTACTATGAGCACTGTTAAGTTAGTGGCACTATGGCAAGTAAAACAGGTTAGATATTTTGCCGAAAAAAAAAATATATAAAAATAAATAAAAAACTAAATTACTGTATTATAAATGTATTATATCTATGAACTATAATAAAGGTAGGTCTTTACATTTTTTTTTCAATACTGCAACATGAGATGCCTTATGAAGATCTGCCAGTAATATGTGAGGTCTCGCCACAAAATGAGTCTCATGGTTAGAAATTCAAAAATTGAATGGCTTCCCTACTATAAGTAATTCCAGAGATGTGAGCATTTAAAGATTAGGTGTATAAGAACCACGTTTTGAGAAAATCAGCCTCAAAGATAAACTAATCTGTACAAATAATATGACTAGAATTACAGAATATGTGCAGAGAACACTGTTTTGGCAAGAAAATTCACTTTACAAAGTGTACAATCATAAAATATAAGTACCAAGTTATTCAAAAACATTAAAATCAAAATTTTGTAAAAATGTTGACTTTGGCCTGTTTTGGTGAATATCTCAATATGCTTTCACCAACGATGCGTCTCATTTCGCGGTGAGAACTCACATATGTTCCACAACTTTAGGGCACCATTGGAAGTTGATCATTTTTGTTATCCTTTTAAATCAGTGATTCAATGTTTAAATTTAATTTCTTTTAGTTTTTTCAGGTTTTATGAGAGAGTAATGTACATAAATGTAGTAATAGTAAAATAGCTCTGGATGTGTCATTCTTTCTTTTTCTAGAAAAATAAAACATTTTGGCACCAACAAAAAAAACAAATATTTCTGTTCCTATATATTTTACATAGACACACTTATTGAATGAATAACATCTGTGTTAATTTGCATAAACAACCACTTGTGAAGTAATTGTCATCGACATACCGGAGGATCTGGAATGGCAGCTGCATTGTTGGTTGTCGATCTGGTGATAATGATCCCTCCATCTCTGCCCTTGTACTGTCGCTGCGGTCCCTTAATACGATCTGAAGGCTATAGGGAGAAAAAAAAAACCAATTCGTTGTTTAAAAAGAACATTAACTTAATGTTAATGGTAAATACTTGGTAAATTTGTCATGATTGAAATTTTAATTAATCTATTAAAATACCCTGTCACCTAAATATAATACAAACTTAAAAAATTCAAAAGAAAACAAAATTAATTGCATAATTTGTGTTTAATTAAGTTATTAGCAACCGACTAAAAAAAAAAAAAAAAGAAAAAAGAAAAAAAGGCTTTACTTCTTGACAGTTTTTTTGGAACCACTTTTAACTCATAACCCATCTATGCTTTTTGTGTTAGCAATCCATATAAGTAACAGACTGCTGATATTTTAGTTCTTTCTAGGGCAGGTCTTTTCTAGGCATGGCATCATATTTAACAGGTTTACTTTTGGAAGACTGTTCATTTCTAATTTTAGCTTATGATGCATCCCATCATCCCTGCCAACAGGATTTACTCTCACAACTTTCAAGGGAGATGATAACAAAGTGTCTACACCCCCCATGGGCACAGTAGACACACAAAGATGGTTTCTTTCATCCTTTCATTTACCTTTTTCATTTTCAATCCTTTCTTGCACATAATCAGTTCATCCACCATTCCTTGCAAGCTAAGGCTCATCAAGATTGCTTCTGGCGTTCTAACAGTGATCCATTGCAGTGTGTCCTTTGCCATTAAATACTCAAATGATAACTCCAACGCGTCACTGTTCCCCTCTTGCGACTTTTAAAATAGATTAAAAATATAATTGTATTTAATAAATTTTATAATTTTACTTATTACTGTACTGTAAAACCAAGAAAAAATTAAGAAAGAAAAAGAAATAATTGATCACCCAAAACGCCTCAGGTCATTTTCGGCGGTCTAAAAAACAAAAGAAATTGCAGGGGCATGCCCCTGGACCACCTAGGGTAGTGTTGTCTCGATCTCTGGATCCGCCCCTGCTGTATGTGAATCACAAATTAGACAAAGCTATCATTCAAAACACATCTTTACTTGGAGTAATGTTCGTCCTATGTTACTTAAACATAATCAGTGCATCTATTGACTATCTAGTATCATTTACAGTCATCAGCAAAACGTGAAAAAAATAGTGTTTAAATTAACATTTTAGTTGCAAAACAATGAGATTTATCGAGCTTGAAACCAGAAGAGTTTTGATAGTTCAAACGAACCCCTTTTTAGAGGCTGATTTATATGCAGTGCAATGAACTTTCGAAACATATCAACCATTTAGCAACAATACTTTTTATAACTTGTTATACTTTTATAAGAGTTTTTCTGCAAAGCGCATTGAGATGTTTTTAATATTTACCAGTGATACAAACAAAATTACATTCATCATATTCAGACTAAACCGCTGTCTGCGCTATCAAATTTTATGTGACAAAAAAGATATATGGATAGGCATATCACAACTATATATGGATAACATTTGATATTGTGGAGCTTAAGAACTTACAGACGTTATCCTCCAGCACCTCATTCTGGTAATCTTGAATGTTCCCTCCTTGAATGATCCGTCGGCTGTCCTTACTCTGAAGATGATTTCACGATTTCCACCATGGACAGTGACAGGAACATTTTCCTCCGGATAATCTGCTGTGCAAGGCTTAAACTGAATGTAGTTGTAATACTTCATACGTCGAACCTCTTGTAGGTACTAAAAAGATCGGAAATAGTTACATTAAATAATATTGCATTGCAAATCATCATCATTACCAGCCACTAATTTGTCAATACAGTAACATCTCCCGATTGCGAACCTCCCAATTACAAACTCTTGATTTTATTTTTTTTTTAAATTTATTTATTTGTTCTTTATACTGGGTTTCCTCTTCAGTAACAAATTACTGTTCTCCAAGAGGGCCCAGTACACATAAAACAGTCCACGACACAACAGACAAACATACACACATGATGCTCTACACAAACTAAATCTCAATATGAGGTTTAGGGAGTGGAGTTGTTTTGGTCGTGAGAAAAATTCCTGCAACTGACAGGAGTTGAACCCATGACCATGGGATTGGAAAGCAAGCATTTTAATCACCAAGCTATTCAACTCCACTCAAGAGGATTTTACCAACATGATCATTACAGTACAAACAAACTACATAACAATAACAATTGTATTTAAAAATTTTCAAAAATAATATAAAATGTTACATCAGCAAAGAAAGAAAAAGTTTAAGCCAAAATAAAACTTCCTTTAAAGAAAGAAATATCAATCGTTTCCAGCCGATATATATTGCATTGAGACCTGTCATACTAGTTCAGGCAGCTAATGTACAACAGGAATACAGAATCTCACTTTTTGTTCATTAGGGGTGCTATTCCAATAAATAAAACTAGCCTAGCCTAGGACTACTCTCACCACTGAAATGCTATGAAAATTTGAACTCTCTGAATTACGAATTTCCTCAATTACAAACTCTGTTCGGACAGAGGGGTACTGTGCATAAATGGAGGATATTGTTAGTGTACTGTACATGTGCCCAACAGTGCACACTTTTGAGACAATACATCTAAAGTAAAATGCTATTTTGAATGCTAAATCTGGAATCCCATCAAGTCTACCTGTTTTAAAAATGGCTTGAAGTGACTAAAAAATCTTCAACTTGGCTCAAACTATTCAATAATGTTTACATATAAGTC